AGGAAACTCAGCCACAGCACCCCCCAGACCCCATAGGTTTCAATGCCCTGGGGGATCAAGAGCAAACCACCCACTTCTTGCTCCCTAGTGCAGCCCTTTTCTGCCTTTCAGAGGTTATGCCCAGATCTCCACACCCTTCCCAAGAGGCCTAACAGAGGTAAAGGGTAGAACCTGGCTGGGAGCATCCAGAATGCTGTGGGGGCAGCCCTCACCTGCAGGGGCCCTCCTCTGGCTGCTGCAGGAACCCCTGCTCCAGGGGCTGGGCAGCATCTGACACATCGCAATCTTCACTCCCACCTGGCTCAGGTTCTAGGAGGCCCATAGGCACTGGGGTAGGGCCAGGAGGCGCAGGGGGGGGGTCAGGCTGAGGCTGAGGAGGCTGTGGCTGTAATGTCTGTGGCTGCTGCTGCTGCTGTTGTTTCCTGTAGGCAAGCCGGAAGGGCAGAGTCCAGGAGTGGGAAAGGATAGAGGTGCTCAGGGGCTGGCAGGACCCTCTATCTTAAGGACTAGGGACAGAGTAGACTACTCCACAAGAAGACTGAGAGCTGGCTCTTTCTTCCACAGAGCAGGGATCGTGGGATGAGTCCACTCTCACCCCTCAGGTGGCCCCAAGTATGGATGGACAGGTGGACAAGGTAAGCAAGTTACTCACCCTACAGCCTCTTGTTTGACTAGAGCTGCAATGGGAAAAGGTTAACATGGTCACAGGGTAGCAAGGGCTACCCCCCCCCAGAACCCCTGCCGAGGCCCACCATCCTCACCCTCCAGGTCATCCAGGTCCTTTGGCCGGGTCCAGCGGGACTCCTTGCTCTGGTTATTATAGTAGTAAGGTTTGCCTGTGTCTGACTTGTATTCTTTCCAAGGACACTGGGACAGCAGCAGCTGTAAGAAGATGGGTCAGAAGACATTAGTGGGCTGGGTATACCCTCCGGCCACAGCTGAAGGAGCTAAGGGGACCCAGTGAGCAGAGGGGACGCAGGAATTTTTAGCTACCACCTGGCCTGGCTCAACATGGGGGAAGGTGGACTTCCTGAGATCCTAAGGAGGTTGGGGTGGTCAGGGACCTTGGGATCAGAGGAACCATGTGTATGGTTTCAGACTCAGGGGAGACCAAGCACTTGGGAGGGTCAGGGCAGCTGAAAGGAAGGGCCAGAAAGCCGCGCTCAGGACCTCCGCCTTGGACTTGAGCACGCTGGGCTTCTCCCACACGGACTGCTTGTCGTCAGCATTGTAGTAGTAGATGCGCCCATCAGGGGCCACATGCTCACTCCATAGGGCCCTCTGGCGGGGGGGGGGGCACAGAATGGTGGTCAAGGCCCCTTTCCCAAAGCCTCTTCTCCTCACCCCATAAACTGAACCACTAGCCGCCCACTTTCAGCCTTTCTACCCAGAAATCCCTGAGCTGGAAGAACTCACCAGAGGACCTGTCCCAGCCACAGCAGCTAGAAAAGAAGCCAAAGGAAAGATACTAAGTCCTTGTTCCAAGCCCCATCTTATCCCCACCTATTCCTCCCTTACTCCATCCCCAATATATATCCCCTGGTCCCAACAACATCCCCGGCTCCCTGGCATCCCAACAGGCATGATCCAGGGTGGACTCTAGTCCCCTCTCCCTTATACCCCCCAACCTCCGAGCCTGGGGGGAGCAGGCCCCCAGAAGACTCACAGCTGGCGGTGTCCACACCTGGAGCCGTCTGCCGAAGAAAGAGGAGGGGGAAGGGTTGGGGCCAAGCCCAGTGGCCCCCAGGACCCAGGCCATAGGAGATGGAGAAGCAGACCAGGCCAAGATCCATGTGTCCTGCTCTCAGGGATCTCTGCTACCTAACACGCTTCCCCCACCCTCCGGGGCAATGGCTCTAGGATTCCCGGGGGAATCACACAGCAATTCCTTCGTTTGTTTTCCTCAAGCAAGAGTATTTTTTTGAAACCCATCCCTTCCACAGTGGATGACAAATTCTATATCCTACCCAGACTCTACTACACTGAGCAATGGCACAAGAAGATCCCCAGGTGATGTAGTTTCCTCCAGAGACAAAAAAGATATGAAGGAGACTGTATTTAAGTGTCCACAGGGATAGCCCTTTGAGGTCAAGCAGTGTCTGGCATGAGTGTGTTCCTTAAAGGAGATGGGCACAGTGGCAAGTAACAACAGACAATGTATATGCCTTTGGGGATGAGTAAAAGAAGAAAAGCTGAGTACATAGCTAGAGAGGACTCAAGTGTGGGGAGTGCTGACAGGGACCAGGATGGATCCAATGAGAAGAGAGAAAGAATGGAGGCCATATCCCTGAACTCCAAACCAAACCCACAGTGTTATAGTACAGAGCTGCTTCCTGCTGGCCCCAGTGCTTACCGCTGCGGTGACAGGCACTGCTGGCATCAGCATTCCTGGCATCATGGGAGGTACAATTCCTGGTATCTAGGGATACAAAGACAAAAACCAGCTACTGAGGTAGGGGCAGGCACAGGCTGGGCAACGTCCTAGGAGATTCTGTTGGGGTCATGATCGTCACGTAGGCACCTCCTCAGGCAATCCCCTGAGGGATTTTGGGCTTCCAGCCTAACCTGAGAGTTTTCTCCAGTCACTCAGCAGACAAATCTGCATGGGCCTGTTCCAAAGCTCTCTACCTTCCCTGCCTAGTTTCTGAAATCCAGATCCCCACTCTCATCTCCATCCCCAGATAAACTGACAGGTTTTCTGAGGCTCTGGTACAGAGGAGAGGATTACCTGTGTGAGCGGTGGTGGTGACCCCATTGGCGGTAGCATTGGGGGCATGATGCCAGGTGGCATGGGGGGGATAGCTGGTGGTCTCTGACTCATGGGTGGTAGCCCCATCGGAGGAAAGGGTGGAGGGATTCCTGGAGGGGGCATCTGCAAATGAGGAAAAAAAGAGATACTGAGCAGAGAAGACACTGCCTTGGACCTGGCAGAAAACATCCACTTGTCTCCCACCCAAACCTTCCACCCTGGCTCTGAGGCAATTCCAAGGCTTTAGTCTGAGAAGCACAAAGTATGAAAACTGCCTCCCTCCTCACCACTGAGAAAGACTGGTAACTGGGGGGTCCTCTGGGTCTAACAGGCAAGCACACAGCTTCTTGAGAGGTAGGGAAGGGAGAAGGAAAAGAAAAGTATAACCACCACCAGACTGCAGCTGGAAGGTTTCATTTCTTCAGAAACTCTTCCCAAAGAGGCTTCTCAGATGCAGAGCCAGAAGGCATATGTCCATGTACCCAAATCCCTAGTCCCCTGCCTCCCATCCCTTTTTCTCCAACTCAGTGACCACCAGTTGCTAGGCCAGCCTGACCTCTGTGGCATATTTAAAGAATACGGGTAAGGAGTAATGGAAGAGAAAGACAGCCCACCCTGCACTCATTCTACCTGGGTCTTTTCACTTCCACTTCTTCTACCCTAGCCCCAGTGTCCCAGAGACAAAAAGACAAAGGGGAAACTATCAACTTTATGAACAGTGAGCTGAACAGCATCTCCCACCCCAATACCCGAGCAAAACCATCCCTCTTCCAAGGGTAGCCGTAAGGGTTTATTACACAAAAACCGTGCAGCAGTGCTAGGGACTGGGGAGTTAGGGGGTGCAGGCTGGAAAAGCCAAGCCCAGGGAAAGACATAAAACTTACGAAGGGTGGTGGCATCATGGGGGGCCCCGGTGGGAAGGGGGCAGGCGCTGCTGGGGGCCGGGGACCAGAATCGGGAACCGACTGTTGAGGGAGAGAAAAGTCATAGGACCCAGGATGGACAAAGAGATGGGTGTTTGCAGAAGGGAAGCAGAGTGTTGAGGATAAAAAAGGAGCACAAAGTTCAGAGGAAGGGTCTCCAAGACCAACTTCCTGCCCACTCCCAGCTCTGAGCCCTGGGTAGGTCTGCTCTCTCTTCTACCAGCCCAGAGCCAGCTGGCTGAACCCCTTCAATGTCATCTTTATTTTAGAAGTTTCCATTTTGCCAAAGCCACAGAAAAGACGGAGGAGGCTGTACTACCGGCAGACTGGCTCTGCCCAAGGCATTTTATCCACTCTCCTGCCTGTGGACAAGGCTGTGCCTCCCTCAAACCAGTTAAACTACTCATTCACAAAGTATCCAGTTAGGAAGTGGCCTCTTTCCCCATTTCCCCGCCTGAATTCACCCAGGTACAGAGATTCGACCCCAACACCCTCTAAACACAAATAATAACTAGTTCTTCATAAGTTCTAGTCTCCCTAACTCTCCTCTCTCCACTACCAGCCTCATCTCCTATCTGACCTCATCTTCAGTCACTCTCTCTCTGACATCTTCCACTCCCAATCACCTCCCTCATCTCTTTCACTCTACTCCTCCTCCCCTACAGATCCTGAACTCCTCTCCGTGGGTGAGGCTCTGAACAGCCTAGATCTCCCCATCCTACACCTAATGGCTGGCCACATTCCATCCTTTAGTTCGCAGTTTAAATATCATTTGCTCTATGAAGCCTTCCTGGCTCTATTTAAAGCACATCCTTCCAATTTATTCTCTATGTGCCCCCCTTTTATGTTTCCCCTTAATAGAGGGTAATAACATTCCATGAGGGCAGGGAGCATATCTGACTTGTTGAAAGCTGGATTCCTGGCACCTGCCAGAGTATCTGGCACATAGTGGGCACTCAATAAATATTAAATGGATGAATGACAAGTGAGAGAACAAATATTCTCTATATAGAACCTTCCAATTCTAAATATTCATCCTACAGATAAAGCCCCACATGGCCAAAATGATGTCTATACAAGGTTTCCATTTCAGCATTATTTGAAAAAAGTTTAGAATCAAGCTAACTACCCACCAATAAGGAACTATGAAATTATACACAAACATAACATGGAATACTATGCAGTCATAAAAAGGAATGAGAAGCTCACTGTCTTGCTATCAAACCACCTCTAATATATATTAACAAGTGGGGGTGGGGGAAGCAAAGCACTGCAAAGTTTTATCACTTGTATAAAAATCAGACACAAAAGATGACACACAGGAAACTGGTGGAAGGGGGACTAAGGTAGAAAGATTTATTACTATATGCCTTTTTGTAACTTTTGAATATGCACCCACATGATTATGTCACACATTCAAGAAAAATTTTTTTAAGTAAACTGAGGTGTTAAGATGCAGCTAAAAGGCCCTGCTGTTCCTCCTCTTTGCCTGAAAGGAGGGGGTGGTGGTGGTAGGGAAGAGGCCCAGGGAAAGGTGATCCAAGAGCCACCTCATTGCTGCCCAATTTTCCTATTTCCCTAATTATCCCTATGTTGAGAACTCTCAGCTTTTAAAATTACTTTCTAATCTCTACTTTTACCAATGTCTGTGCCTCCTCTCTTCCTGCCCATCTTGTCCTAAGGAGAGGAGATAAGCCAAAGTACTCCAACTTGAATCACCTTTCCTCAGTGTTCAACTCCTCTAGCCCTGTATCAGACCTGCTTCTCCCCCTGAAACTTTCCTTAGCATGGAAGTCAGAAACTAATCAATATGGAAAGAAACCCAATTCTTTGTGCCACACTTTCCCACCTCAAGCTGCCTTAGGATCCTCTCTACCCTCCCAGGTGCTACGTAACCATCTTCGTGGGTCCTACCAGGCTCCAGCCATTGCCCATGTCAGAGACTACTGCCACCAGTTGTCCAAGATAGAAACATGAGTGTCACTCTCCACACCTCCCTCTTCCTTCTCAATACATCACTGAGAACTGTTAATTTTACCTCCTAAAGGTTTCCTGAACCCATCTTCTACTTCTCTCCATTTCCTCCTCCATGCCTACCACCTCTTTCATCTGGTCTCCCACATCCACTCCAACCTGCAGCCATAATGAGCTCATCAAAATGCACCTCAGACCATGTTACTTCCCTGCTTAAAACTCTTTAATGGCTTCCCACTGTTCTTAGGGTAAAGACCAAAATCCCTGCCCAGGGTCTGGGAAGCTGTGATAGATTTGCTCCCCAACTGCCTTGCCAGCCTCACCCATGCTGAGCTCCTGGGTCTGTGCTCCAGTCACACTCACCTTCTCTCAGTTCTCCACCTCAGGCACCCACCTTTTCGTGGGGTAATCTACCCACAATCCCACAGATCTCGACTACATATCCTTCACATCATTTCCTCAGAAAAGTCTTCCTCCCAACCCAGCAGACCCCAGTCAGTACCCTCCTTTACATGCTTGTACACTATGTACCTTTCCCTTCAGCACTTATCCATTGGGATTTTACAGTTATTTTACAATTCTGATTTACTATTATGTAGCATTAACAAAAAAAACAATGCTGCCAATTAAATCATGCTACTCCATTGATTTTAAGATGCATCTTGACTTAAGAAATGTTAGATTGTGAGTCTTAGAATCAATGAAATATCTACTTGCTGCCTCCACTAGGCTGAAAACTCTAAGGGACAGACTTTATCTGTTTTTGCTCACCCCGATATCCTATACCCATTGAATTTTCCTCACTACCTGCTATTGAAACACAGTAGGTGCTAAAAAATATCTGTAGACTTAATGACTGAATGATCTTGACAGTCCCACAAAACAAAGCCTAGTACTTATTCAGGGAACACAAGATATCAGAGATGGGGAAAGGACTCTTGCAACCACCCAAGGTAGCCCCCTTTTTTCAGATGAGAAAACTAAGGAAGCTTAATGAGTCCAAGGTCCTACTGCTAGTTAGGGACAGAGCCAGGACTGGATCTCATCTGCCTTCTAGCCCTACTCCCTTAAAAGCACAGTCCTTGCCATAGGAAGTAGGTCTGTTTTTTCACTCCAGCATATCCCCTGAAACCCATGTAGTTAAATCAGCAAGGATCCAACATTTTCTTGCTTGATTATCAGTGGTGGGTCTCTATTGTCCACCCTACAAAATCTGTCATCTAACAGTCTTTCAACAAGGCCCATGCCATAACTCTTCTTTGCTCCTCCTGACTCAATGGCTTCTCTCCTCTTTGCACACAAATTACTCCAAGTGTATCTTTTATTCCACTTTGTCTCTCACTTTGTTGAAGATGATCCAGTATTCACCTCCTTCAGGTTACCTTTATGACTATCCTTCACACATACACACTTCTATCTCCCTGAGTCCCCTCATGATAAATGCTGCACTACTTTGCACCAAGTGACATGCAACTCTGTGGATGTTTGTTGGGTGTTTCATGTGGGACTGCCTCTCTTCCTATTTGGGTGGGGATTTCCCTACATTCAAGATTGGGTTTTCTTCTTTTTAAGCCTCCTCTGAGTATCTAGTCAGGGCCCAGCACACAAAGTGCTGTGATAAAATGCAGAGTCATCCTTAACCTTATTAGACTTTTGCACACTGGAATATCCTAAAATAGGAGTGTGTGTGTGTGTGTGTGTGTGTGCACACGCACGCACACACAGGTGCCTAGGTACCTTTGTATAAATTCTCTGGGTAAAGACTGACTCTGATGAGACAGAGAGGCAGCTTGGCAGAGATCTATGTGGCTGTGAAAAGGGAACTGGAATGAAATATTGGCTTGGAAAAACCTAAACAATGAAAAACTAAGTGTATATGACCATCTTTAACTTGGAATGTAGACCCCTGGCAAGGATCCAGACAATGGCCTATTTTTGGACAGAGGAGAGAGCAATGGAATGAGCATAAATTTCTACGGAACTTCCAAAGCCTTCCCTTTCCTAAGCCTCCCCTGTGCGATGTGTATACTTTCTTTCTTTGCTCAGACACCCCTTCCCCTATTTCGTTTGCTGCAGTGCCTGTACAACTTTGGATCTCATTACAAATGAGTGCGAATCTGAAGGAACTCGTGCGAGAAAGATATAGAAAAGGGGGCTGAAAGAAAAGCAGCTCCTGTGTCTTCCTTGGAACAAAAACATATTTGTGGGCTGGGGAAGGATAATGAAGAGACAACTGATCGCCTGATCACCATGTGTTCACCTAGACCAGTGGAACCCCCCAGGATGCAATCAATTCTTCTCAGCCTCCACATATAAGGGGCATCTCAGAACTGAAGATTCAAGAAGAAAGAACAAAAGGAAAAAGGGACAAGAATGGAGAAAGAGAATGCAAAGAAGGAATAATAACAGCTAATAGCTAATATTTATTGAGTGCTTATTATGAGCCAGATACCATGACAAATATTTAATCCTCACAACCATCTCAGAGGTCATTAACCCCATTTTTATAAAGAAACTGAGGTTCAAAGAGATTAAATGACAGAGGCAGGTTTGGAATCCAAGCAGACTGACCCCAAAGCCTCGGTTTTCAAATACTTCAAAAAGCTTCCTCCCAGCAAGGATGGTGCCGGATGGTGCCACAGGTATTTCTTACATTCAAATTCGTTCTGTTTTCTTTTTAAATTGAATTTATTAGGATGACATTGGTTAATAAAATTATATAGGTTTCAGGTATCATTCTGCTTTCTTTCCCAATTTTCACACAATTCTGAAATCCTCAGACAGCTAGGTGATCCCAAGGTTGACCTGGTCTGACTCACTCCCTGAAGAGATTTGTGTTGGTAAATGATGTCTGAAAGGCACATCTCTCAGAAAGAGGTAGTCATCACCAAAAAGAAAAGTATCACAGAGGCTGAGACCAGCTGATTATCCTGTGGTCGATCCACATACTGCCCTTACTCAGTTGCCCCAAACAGCAAGAGCCCTCCCTCCCTGTTTTCAAGATCATCCTAGTCCCCACTCTCCTGTACCAGCCTTTTTATTCCTCCTGATTGCAAAGATACTGTTTTACTAGAATAAATCTTCCATTGCTTCTCTCTGATCCTGCCATCTTATTCTCCCTCTGAAGAACAGAATGCTACTTCTGGTCTTCATCTTTACTGGGTTAGGTCCCAGCCCCCTCCTCCTCTTCTTAAAGAGTTCTTCCATCCCTCCAACAGCATTCGAGAAGCCCGGGGCAGCCTGTCCCAGCCTTGCAGGCTTTGCGCCTACCATCCCCCACATCCCTGGGGGTTTTCTGCAGCCCCAGCTGAAGGCCTGCCTCCATCTTCATCCTTTCTTTTGCTTGCCCACATCCTAGAACCCATTGTCCTGAAATCTCTCCTAAAGAACCACTCCATTTTGGAGCTGGAAGAGATTTGAGCTACCATTCTTAAGCATTTCCCTTTTTTTAATCGATAGAAATCTGAGGCCCAAAAAAAGGTAGTGACTTGCCCAAGGTCACACAGAGTTGTTACACAGTTTGTTCATGGCAGAGCCAGGATTGGGACCAAGGGGCCTCTGCTCTCCTATTTCTTGGACTATCCAGCACTGGGAGGGGGCTGGAAGCCTCTCTTTCCTCAGAAGACAAGGAAAGGAAATGAAAGAGGGTCTCCAAGAGGTCTGAAGGGGCATACGCGGCTTCCAAAGGGAACAAGCACTGAGTCTGGGGGAGGGGCATGTCGCACGCCAAATATCCCAGGAGGAGAAACTGTGGCTCCCAGCTCTTCCCTTGTCCTGCAGTTTCCACATCTCCTGTTCCCTCTCTTCTTTCCGAACCATTTTCCACAAACCCACCCTTCACTTCTTCCCTTTCTCCTCCTCACCCAGTCACGCAACTCTCGTTCTCCTCAACACCCCCCTCCCGCCATCCTCCATCATGGCCTTTCCCACCCC